GACCCCCTTCAGAGGCAACATTTTTTTTAAGCAAACCCACACAAGAAATTGACCAACTTCCAACTGGGCAACGACCTAAAAACCCGTTCCGATTGCAATTTCCGCGTCCATAAATTTGTTGCGTCCTGACAGGTGGACGTATCGACAAGACCCGCAAAATTAGGGAGACAAAAGGGGCCGCCCAGGGCGTTCCCCCCTTAATAATCCAAAATTAAACATGGCCAACGCGAGGCCCCGTTTCTGTTACCGCCTCCCTCGTTATTGTGCTCCCGGAATGGACTCACTGGAGGCTATAATTAGTTCTTCGTGGCCTGAAGATGCCCATTATTGCATTGCCGGTAAGTAGTCAAATAAACCTGGCCAATTGCAGTATTACGCAAAGTGCGCCATTATTGCCGCAACCATCTGCTCGATAAGGTCGAGTTATCCAAAACAATGAAACAATATTAAGATTAGATGGCGGGGTGCTTTGCTAATGTTCATCCGGTCCAAAAATCTACCATGTTTCCTAAATGATACTGTTTAGGCAAAAATATTGCGTTTCAAACAAATTTGTCTTATCCGAAAGTTTAATCTAAGTGGAATAATAAGTGCAAATTTTTAATAGATCGTTAACCAGTTTTGCTATTACCAAAAAAACGTGTTTAGGGGTTTTTATTGGAAATGGAAAATTTTAGTAGAATAATATCTGCGGTCAACAGTTCATGTAATTATCTGGATCTTTTACAAAGAAAAAGTAGTGAGTAGCAAAATTCGTTTAATAGAGCAAGGAACATGATTCATTTTGGAAATAGGGGATGAAAATTGTATCCCCATTCACAATCTTTATTTTTGTATTGATTTCAATAATTATTTGTTTGTTAGTTAGATACTTAAAATACTTCTTGGCCTAGTGAGTGATTTCGCCTATCTCAATTTTCATCTGGAGTCATGAGTCTGTTGTTGTCAAGTTTCAAGGGTAAATTTTAGGAAAAAAGCGATCGATTCTGACTGACCAAGCCAGGCGGACACAAAAATCAATGAAACAATTTGCTATTTAAGAAAAGACAGTTTGGAATATCCCCAAAAAAACTGACTTAATGTCGTACATAAATGTGTATGGGTGAATATTGAAAGCACCCTCTAGTCGAATGTGCATCTTAAAATTCTTAAATCGCTAACTAATAAAAAGTAATTGAAATCGACCAAAAAAGAAAGATTTTTGCTTTCGTAACTCGGACCTATATGATACTGTTACCCATAAACAAAAACTCTTTTTTCACGCTGTACCTCGAAAACTATTAAATTTATTTTTGCGTAAACATGTGAGTGAATTTTGTCACATTAGTTGAGAATCACCCTGTAAAACAGTCAATTCCATATTGAATCCTCATGCGGAACTCGACCAAACTCCAAATGTAGCAACGAAGAGAATTATCGTCTTCAAATTGAAATAAATTTTACGAATACAATAAAATCTTTCAGTTTAGTACCTGTTGCAATATGTTAATAGCTCGTAATGTCTAGTGCTATTGCAGAGGTTTCATTGCGTTCAACTCTAATGTTTCAAAAACTGCACATGAGTTTATTATTCGCGTTGTAATCGAATCTTTCGCGATTATGTTTATTCGCGTACGATTAATTTTGTTGAATTCATTTAGTCGAACCATTATTTTTAGTGCACTTCTGAAATATGCATTTTTTATATCCGTCCGTGGATAAAAGAGTTGATACCCACATTTAAAGAACATTTATAATTCTTAGTCTGAAGAAGAAAAAAACGGACCTCTTAGAACTGTCACGTATGTGCCTGAAAGCTTAACAAAGTGCCATGTCACAACCAACAATGAACTCACTAACAAAGATTAATGTTTCGGTCTTGAAATTATCACTTTTGATTTTGGAGCTCTTTTGGTGGTTAGACCAGTACTTACGCGACAATGCATAAAGATCACTTCGGAAGGATAATTGCGGACAAATAATGAGAAAAGAATGAGCTAATCGTGCGACAATCAACGTGAATTTAAAGCAGAAGTCCAACAGGCTAAGTTATCGGCCCGTTCTAGGAACAATGCTCGAAACGCGTTAATTGCTTCGTCGATTTATCTATGGTCCAGGGAATTTACGTCCGAAAATCTGTAGTAAATTATGACAATTATTACATCGGATCCGAAAACACCGAAAAAGAAACGACAAGCACATTAATTGTTCGTAATAGACAGGCACCGTCTTCGTTTCCAAATCTTCGGTTCGGAGAACCCATGTAACTTTATCTAGCGGACGCGAAAGAAGACCGACTCGAACCATTGAAATGTTTAGAGAAGAAACGCCTTCACTTGCTTCTAGTGACCAAACTGTACATGGTATCCGAGATGCGAAGAACTGATAACTAATATGACAAAATTTAACTTATTAACCATGTAGTTTTTATGGCCTGGGACCGATAAGCTGGTGTTTCGGTCGTGTGTGTGTGATTTTTACACTTCTTCAGCTAGCAAATAACAGCAGTTTTTTTCTTATTTCAATTAGTTTCATGAGTTTAAATTGAGATTCTTGAATTTTTTTGAAAATTTTTAGGGCGAAAGCACGCATTTCTTCTTA